GTCAAACTAACAGTGGCCATTTAGTTTGGTAAATTACATTCAAAAAGCCTCTTGAAATTCTGGCACTTTTTACAGGTGGATCTGTTTTCTTTCCTTATCCCTGAAGAATACAAGTCTCAGTATGATTATTTTTTCCCAGATGTTTGCAATCTTGGCAATTATCATAGAAAATTTTCCAAGATATGGCTATGTGAACCTCTAACTGTTTTTCCTATAATAAGAAACCTAGATTTGATGTTATAGCATTGTACAATAACAAGAATTAATGGTCCATTCTATAGTGAGAAACTAATCTGTTTACCTGTTTTCTTTTTCTTAAGAGGAAATACTGTTGCTGGAAAAATCTGGGCCAGTTCCTGATCAATGCATGCCATAGCAATTTTCACCAGGTCAGCAGCTGAGCCCTGGATGATAGTGTTAACCGCCTGTCGTTCTGCTTGAGCCCTAACATAAGGATTCTGGCTATTGATTGACAGCAGGTAGCGTCTTCTACCATACAAAGTCTCCACATATTCCTTCTGACGGCATTGATCCACAACAAGTTGTAAATATTTCTTTAGTGCTGAAAGGCCCCAGTGAAAGTATGTTAGCCAAATATAAGCCAGCTTCAACAAATTTTCTTTTTCATAAGCTCATGCATAGAGATGGCAGAAAAAAAAGTATATTCCATTCAAATTGTCAAAATAATATAATATGTTTCAAAACACTGAAGAAAATTACTGCAATAAATATTTACCAATGGTGTACAACTGTGTGATAAGCTAATTATACATCTAGCAGCATATTTGATGAATACTTAAATGTTAATAAGGCTTTATTCATGTTAGGCCAAAGATCACCAATGTCAGGAAATAAATCAAACATAGATATAATGAAATAGGTATGTACTGCTTTATTTTTGTTTCAACACTCACACAAAGCTACACAAGGGCTCTAGCCATCTGTAATTTCGAACTGACAGATTAAAAGAAAAGCAGCTGGTCACACTCACTACCAGCTCCTGGGCTATTCTAATTGAATAATATAATTTGATTGACATTTTAATAACACACATACGGCTCCAGGGTGCAGAATGTGATTGTGCAGCAACAGGACACACCTCATGAACCCTTGGATTCACAATGCATGACAAAAAGTAATACAAAAAAATTCAAATATTATGTATGATGTAGGAATGGCAAGCCAAAACATACAGAAACAAGATAGGGATGAATACATAAAAACCATACAAAAATCACTCCTATAAATAGCCAAATCTTTCCTGGAATAACTTTTATCTACAACTAAATGTTGAATTCCTGTCAGTTGCATGAATTCAGGTTTGAATCAAAGCACTTAAACTCGATAGTGCTATATAGTTTTACAGTGGCTAATAACCATAAGATTGTAAGACTGATTCAGTACTTACTGGCTTCTTATGTAGGGATTTTAGTATGTTTTTTTTGTATTCATCCCTAACTTGTTTCTGTCCTTTTTGGCATTGCCATCTTTACATCATACTTAATTTTTGCAAACTTTTTTATTGCTTATTTCCCCTCTTCTTCTTTTTTTTTAACAATTTCATTGAAGTAGGTTTATAAGTGAACATCTGATATATATTTTATAATTCAATGGTAATATATATTGTTAATATCATATCAGTTTTGTCAGTTTCTATAATTCTGGATTACATTGGGGCCAGTGAAGCTGGAATGATTCCTCCAGGATGGTACAAGTACCTTGGAGTGCTAGACCAATGTTAAGGGGATATTTACAGAACTTGCACCTTCCAACTCATTGCATGTGCATACAGTTGACTCCACCACATGCTAAGGTCATGTTAATTAATAGGGAGGACATCATACAGATCCCAGGCCATGAAGTATGAGACCATACATACACATACAGCTGCCAGGCTCAGCCCCACTGAAAATTTGAAGTAGACTGCTATATAATGTATTGTTTTGATAATTAAGAAACTGGTGTTTTTAAACTCATACATCAATAACATATACAAAGATCTCTCAGTTGCATAAATACTTGATACCTTGAATATTAATTTAAATTGTTCTTTATTTATTTATTTTTACTGAAATTGTTTTGGCAGATATCATGTTTGTGCAATGAAAGTCACAAATGGTTGTTATATAAGAACAATTTTTGCTGCCAGAAATGAAACTGTTATTTATGAAACATGGAAATAATATATGCTTATAAACTGAACTTACTGCTAAATAGTAGTTTTCCTTTTTATTATTTCCCCACAGAAATACGTGTGGTATAAGAACAGAATAATATTACTGTTATACAAGCTGTGAAACACTCAATAAATGGCAATTAGGTACTCAAATAACTCAACCTTAGCAGTTACTTGTAAGCATCAAGAAGTAACAAATTGAATGCAGCAACCATTTTTTTCTCAGCCCATCCCTAAACACTAAGCACTGCTGTGCTTAGTGATAATTACTAGGCCAAGCCCGGCCCAGGTATGTACCAATTTTCACTATTCTTTCACTTTATTACATAGTTTCAACTGTTTTTGTACTTTAACATATAAAAGATCTTATTGAAAAAAAAAACCAGTTTCAAATTTTAACTAACAGCTGAACATTATTTAATGGTACAAAATATTTTCTTAGCCAATCTAATAAATACACATTGTATATCAAAGGCATCAAAATCATGTACCATGTTTTATGCTTTTAAATTGTCAAATAAACAATTGGTCTTTTAACTGTCTCAGAAGTTATACATTTGTGTTGCAGTACATATGAAGATCATTTGACATGAGAAAAAAGAAACCTAATAACCCGAACACTTTCAGAAAGTGGACTTTGGTACATCAGGGATAAATGGCAATTACTTAACGGTTTATGATCACATATCACACACATGAAGCTATTCATGTTTATGTCTGTGCTGTTGTTCCACTATCAACAAGTATGATAAACGTTTTGGATTCATTAAAATAATACAATGTTATAAGAATAGGTAAACAGTTATTCTTTGGTGGCAGTTTGATTACCATCGCTAATAATTATTCTCTATTTAAGTTTAACACATGCCATATTGTTACTGACTGTGTTTAATAGTAAACTTTTATTTAAAAAAAACAAATCCATAAAATTTTGTTTTACTATTGTTTACTTATATATGTAAATCTGTGCTTTAGACAATGAAACTACAGTAATTCACATTTAAACTAACTTTCAAACATTAAATCTTCATGGTATCGATATTTTTCTCCTAACACATGATAAATAAATTAAGTGTATTTATTAATTATATACAGCTTGAAACGTAACATAAACTTTGGAGTCACAGATATTACCTGGGAAAGTGTTCTTAAATCCTTCACTGAAAGCTGCTGCTTCATTTTCATTAACCCCCAATTGATCACCCAAGGCCTTAGCTCCAATACCATAAATGATACCATAACAAATCTGTGAGAAATGAAAAAACCTTTTAACATGCAGGTAATAATCTTACACAAGCATTAGCAATAATTAAAGGACACAAATAAGGTATAACAGTGGCCAAAACTCAATCACTCATAATTAAAGATGGGCACAATTAGTAGAATTTGACAATTGATGAATCATTGGGCTCATTAACCAATTACATTCTACTAATCAATTATTCTCCCATGAGACTTGGATAATTTGAATAATAAAAAATAGTTATAATTTGAAACACTAATTACAATTAGTTGATTGTTTTTGTGAGTTGCAACACCAATTTATTAAGCTGACTTTGAATTAATGGACAATAATAATGAGAAATCACAATGGCAATATTTCAGTTACTAAATTATTGCAGTGTTAAAATAAAGATTCTTTTGAGTATATTTATGTTATGAATAAATTAATAATCATATGCATCAGCCCTTGCAAGAGCTTGCTCTTGACAATGAAAAACAATTCTGAAAGTGAGGCTTAGTTTGAAACCACGGAGGTGAACGCTGGCTGTACGGGTATCGTACGCAATTATTCATGTATATTTGCTAGAACTTATTTTGGCTCTCACCAACACAGGGATGACCAATGAAGGACTGACTGGAAAATTAGTAGGCCCGAGACCAATGTTAACATAGTTGATACTACCTGACACAGACCGTATGATACAAAACACCTACAAGTTTATGTGCAGAAGGTTAGTCTGTAGCACTGGGACAGTATAACCACTGGCCCAGGAGTCATTGGTCCACTGGGAATTTGCCTGGCGGCCCATTCCGCAACTGCCAAAAGGTAATTAAGTTTTCAAAATCACTATGAATGATATTTGTGTGGGTTCTTATAAGATTTTCATTCATTTATCGGATATAGGTGAAGTCACATTAACATCATTACTGTTTCTCATGATATGTATCAATATGAACAGAATGACACCACAAGTTCTTATTTTTATTTTAGATTCCAACCTAATAATTCTGAACTGGTTCTTGATGTTGTATCATTATGGGACCTTTTAATTCACAAGTAACCTTTTTCATAATCAATGTTTAAACAACAGATAGTATTTACAGGTTAACTACACATAAATAATACCCTTCATACAAAGCAATACCAAAATTAATAAAATTGCATCTTGAGAATTATAAAATCTAGCTTACTTTAGTTTGGTTTATTTAAAGACTGCATAAAAGATATGCATTTATACCTGTTTGGCTTGTTGCCTTTCCTTTTCTGTAACTTCCAACATATTACGTTTCTTCCACTGAGCAGCAACAGCTTGAAAAACATCACCTCCACTCTTCAAGAGAGCCCGAAGTTTCTTGTCCTCAGAAAAGTGGGCCAATACTCGCAGCTCTAGCTGAGAGTAGTCTGCAGCAAGGAATACTGAACCTGTGCAAACCAGAAAATTATCATTATTATTACAATACTTATATACATTCTTTAATTCGAATCTAAAGCCTGTAAAAAATATTTCAGGTATGATAAGATTCAGTCCTGGTTTATATACATAAAATGTTTTATTATTCTAAAAATACACCCAGTCAATGTTCTAGTTTTGAGCCCAAACATGTAATAATTTCAAAAGTTATAATACATTTCATTTTTCTAATTATCTAAGAATTTCTAAGTCTGTGATATTATTCAAGGACAGGGATTAGAGTGTTCAAGGTATATCTATACATTCTTATATATGATTACAGAGACATTACTAGAGCTGGAAGAAGTGGGGGGGTTAAAAAAATTAAGGCAGAATTAAATGAATACCACAGGGAATACTAAAAGTGAAGCAAGCATAAAATACAATGAAACTTTTAACTGGGAGAATAATTTGAATGAAGATAAACAAGTGGGTAAACAATTCACAATCAGGTAGAAAGATTACAAACTAGAACACAAGAATCAACTAAGTTATAAGAAAGATCTTGAGGTAAGCTTCAAGAACAAACATGAAATATGCAATTTTGTTTTGATAAGAAATTAAATTTAATGAAGACATCTAATCTTTCGAAAGAGCATCAACAAAGAGGAGGACAAGTAAGTCAAAGAGACAGTTAAATGTCAGCTTTGGACAGCCTTGCTATTGTGCTTTTTCATGATTTTCATGCAGAAATCAAAAGAGGCTTATGAAAAAACATCAAGAAGTGAAGACTGGACTTAGAAAAGTATCTGAGTTGATTTGTGACAACTTGACAGAATTAACTTAAGATTTTTTAACATAGTCTTGAATTTGTTGATCTGAACTAAAGATTCAACTCTGTGAATGGAAGGAAAAGTGGTTTAAGTGGTAGAGGTTGACTATTCAGTAAGAACAGAATAGATAGACTGAATAATGAAGTCTTGCCTATAACAAGATAAAAAGAGAATGATAAAGAAAGTGTGAGAAGACATTTGTGATTGGAAGATTGAAATTAGTTTCTGGACATTGTACATTTTATTTTTGGAATAAAGGTGACCAAGTTTGACAGGATGAGAAATAAACAAAGTTAATATGAAAGTTCAGAGGAGAGAAGTGAGTTAAAGGTTTATGGTACAAATCTTTACATGAATAAGATCTTTCAACATGGAAATAAATAAGAACAGGGCAAAGAAAAAAAGTCCATTAACTCTCTCGCTACAAGGTCGGTCGATTCGACTGACCTCGTAACCATTTTGTACTCATTAATTTCCATACTATCTTTGATTACACTTTGTGTATTTTTTACATAGTTTTGCAGACTTTTATTAAACATCATAAGTCTTTCATATACATAAAGTCAGATTTTTTAATGAAGTATTTTTACTAAAGATTTGTCCATGAATATATACAGTATTTCTATATACTAGTCCGAGTGCAAAGTGAGTTCCATGTTAAGATTAAAAATACTTTTCTTGGTCTCAAAATTGTCAAATTTTATTTGCGTAATCTCTAAAACCTCCTAAATAAATTTTAAATGCTTTTTTTCAGTAAAGTTTTATATTTTATCTGTTATTTTCTCTACCCTAACTTTATACAAGGTTAGTCAATTTGACTAACCTCGTAACTACCAAAAATATTGAAATACATCTAAACCCTTTGTTTCTTTCTAGAATTACTTCAAATTTTAATATGAAACTACATTTGTTTAGCCTAAATAGCTTTAAATTCATAACAGTATACATATATTTATATTTAAATGTTATTGGCATTATAAGTTGAAAATCACCTGGTAAGTGTGCAGTTCTCGTTATGCTATCGAATTACATTACAATAATATTCCATAACTAGCACAATTTTTCTGGCTTTCTGACTATGTAACTAGAGCCGTGAAAACTTTATCTAAGCTCGTCAATATGTTTCCAGTGAGAATCAAGCTTGAACTGAAAGTGAGATTGACAATTCTCTTTACAGAAACCAATGTATCATTTGATAGATGAAAACCTTGGCTTTCTATTTGTTATATATAAAGTAGTATTAAATATCAGAGAGAACTATTGGTAATTTCTAAAAGAGAGGGTGTGGCAAGACGGGTCTGATTGTCTATTTTATGGCTCCTTAACCAAAGATTGAAGGCTATAAAAATTATACTTTGCCTGAGAGATGACAATGTTATTATGAGCAATTTATGTTAAATTTCATACTTCTTGGAGGGGTTGTAAATAAATTAGAGAAGAGGAAATGTCACAATTTTCACACTAGGGGAGACTAGATTTTGTTTTAACATTGTCTTATAAAAGTAAGAATTTTAAACATATATACAATTAAAATATGGATTATTAGTTTAATTAAATTTTGAAAGTAACTAAAACCTCTTGCAGGAAATGTACTAGTTATTCTGATGAAAAACTTGCAAGTCTGTAAAGAACTGTTTAATGTGTGTGAAAGAAAAATTGGTAAGACTTAAAAGAATTGATTATTGGATGCAAAAACCAATGAAACTTGAGAAGGATTATTGAGTTTGTGTGATAATAAATATTATATGACTGAAAAATAACAAGAAAAATTCATAACCACCGAAAAGCCTGGAAACTGTAGCAAATATGATAAAATTTGAAAAAACTACTAAAAACCATAAAAAATAAAAAAGTCAATTAAAACCTTAGTTGAAAAGCAAACACACTAAGGAGAAAAACAGAAATAAATAACAAGTATTACTGAAAAGACAGCTTGCTAAAATTTGTGGGTGAACGAGAAAGCCTAAAGTAGTTAATGTATATATAGCTCTGAACAGTTTACAGCTACAGCAATATCCATACTTTTGAATTTCTTTTCTAACCACTTATTTCTTATTGTACTTGAAAATATCTAGCAGCAATCTCTACTTCTGAATGTACACATTACACTTATTATTAATAAAACATGATACAATATTTTAAAATTTTGTTCTCAACAAAGGTGACTATTCACATGGTTTTAAAACATTCAAAACCGTTTGCATTTTTAGTTTTTAATAAATCATTTTGTCATACAAACAAAAATTTAATATTTTCCCCACAAAATGATGATAAACTTTAAAAAAGTCACAAATATATATATATATATATATATACATTATATAATTATCATTTTTTAAATAAAATTTGTTTTTGTGAATTAACTGGCAAAAATGACTTAAATTTAAGAAAAATATTCACACAAACCTGTTCTTGGAACAAATGAAGATCTAAGGTTGATAGCACAAGAAGCTAATGTAGTTGAATTAATTGTTATAAGTGAAGTTTCTGATATTAACTCAAATTCCTTTGGAATATTCTGCAAATTAGGTTCATGCATCGTCACACGACCAGTGGCTGTATATGTTTCACAAATCCCATATATACGATGCATACTCAAACATGGATGAAATGATTTTTCTTTCAGCAAAGGAAAAACAACCTTAAAAAAAAGGAAAACAATCCCAGTTTAGAAATATTATACCCACACTTCAATCAAATGCATTATTAACTTTTCTCCAGTTTCTTTACTAACTGAAGATTTTACATTATAACTTGACTATAAATATAATAGCCAAACATTTTATTCTTAGAGATTCCTACAGGTGATGCTGTAATTATAATGTGAGGTTAATTAATACAGAATATAAGTATTGAATTCATACCTTTGTCAAAGCTGAAGAAACCTTTCTCCAATTCAAAATAACTGCAGGCAATGGGTGAAAGTCCCTTAATTTTTCTAAGGCTTCCTTAGTAGTGCTTAGTTCTCTTGGTAGTGTTTTACGCCTACCTCGTACACTTGTCCCCAAAGACAAACAGTTTGTGTTAACTTTATTATCAGGATCTCCACCTGGAGGAAGTTTTAATTCTTTATACAACACCTAAAGATAATACAAGACACACAAGCATATTAATCAGTGAATTCGAAAATTTCAGAACTTTCTCTACCAAAATTTACAATACAATTTTCATTAAGTTACCATAATGTGCTTTTACAAAACAGTCAAATGCACAATTTACTTATGGGAAGGAAGTGACATACTTATGGGAAGGAAGTAACACATCTCTAGGTTTTTAGTCGTTATCACCATGACAGCATTTATATCCAACCGTAAAGAAATTGGAATGTTGTATGGTATAAATTTTTTATAGTACATCAATTCTTAATTACAAAAGAATGCTATCAATTGAGATTGTAAAAAAAAAAAAATCTTATTGGTATTAGTTAGATTAAATTGCATTTAAACATCACTACTATATCGAAAAGCAAACAAGTTATAAGATGCAGTAAAGCAGAAACTCCCAAATTCTGCATTAATGTCAATAACTGTTGTCAAGAAAGAGAAATCATTCAATCATAGAAACACTATTGCAGGTAATTTTATTCTGGTATATGTATAGGAGTTTACATATACCAAATGACATTCAATTACTTTATGAACGAAGTTTAGAAAAACACCATCCGTTAAGGAAAACACTTCAATTTTGTGACAATCCATATTATAAGTACTACAGTCCTCTAAAGAACAGCCAACCCTATGTGAAAAATCAGAACTTAAACTGGAACAAAAAAACAAATCTTCAACAGTAAAATATTTAGACAAGACAACATCCTCAAATATTTTTTAAGATCCTGAAACAAAACATTAAAATGGCCAAAAAATGGATCAATCTCAACATGAAGTAAGAAATCCTACAAATTTAACTAATAGTTAGATCAAGCTCAAGAAAAAAAACACCAAATTCACCTGGAACCCTTGACACATTGCAGAAATAAGTGTACTCCACACTGCAATTTTTATGGTTGAAAGTGATGGCAACTAAGATAGTTAAAGAGGAATAAAAGCAATGTTACCACTAAATGCTCTTCATTTCATCAAATGTGATTAAAGTCACAAATTGTCGAATAGGAAAGCCTGCTATTTGCCACAGTGATAATGAGAATCTATGAAACTACACTGGATCACTGTTAAGTTTATTATCCAGTAGGTTTGTTTTCTTTTTCCCCTACTTATTGCCTTATAAACTGTACTCATACCTTGTTTTACAGAAATAGCACAGATTGTGATGGTGAATTTGCTATTTGACCCACTGGAAGCACCCCTCTACAGAATCTATATAAATATAATAGTACTGTCTGTTGTCTGTCCATGTAACTACTTCGCAGAGTGTTGATGGATCTTCACCAAAATTGGTATGTAGGTTTATTAGGTCCATGCAAGGATACATACAAATTTCCAGTTTTGCATTTTGCCTTTTGCAATTTTTATGGGAATTTTTGCATTGTTTACCATTACTTCACCCCCTGTTGAAGGATC